GTGGGAGATACAGGAAGGGTACCCCAGACATGATGCTGGGTTCTAAACACCAGACTTAAGGGTGTTGGGGATAGGAGAGACTCTAAGGTCAGACATGACCTGAAGGACAAAAACACCTACTGTGTATGCCCCCAGGATGAGCCGGCAGGTGGTGCGTTCCAGCAAGTTCCGCCATGTGTTTGGACAGCCAGCCAAGGCAGATCAGTGCTACGAGGATGTGCGTGTCTCACAGACCACCTGGGACAGCGGCTTCTGCGCTGTCAACCCCAAGTTCGTGGCCCTCATCTGTGAGGCCAGTGGGGGAGGAGCTTTCCTGGTGCTGCCTTTGAGCAAGGTGAGCCTCTGGAGCCCTAAGGACATCAGCTTGTCCACATGACAGGAGGCCTGTACCATCCAGTGGCTCTGTGGCATCCTGTGCAGGTGACTGTCACCAAGCCTCCTTGTGCCTCTCAGTGTAGTTATCTGTAAAGCTGGGCTGGGTCAATATGCCTTCTGTGACCCCCTGCTCCAGCAGGCAAAGCTTCTATGGAAACTGGAGCTCACAGAGGGCACGTGAGGAATCACAGAAACCTGCAGACCAGGATGAGGTCTTCAAAGCCTCATTCTGGACCTTTCTCCCATGGGGGGATGTGGTGGGGCCCAGCATATTCTCAGGACCCAGGAGTCCAGGTCTGGGCCTGTCTGGGGAACTAGGCAGAGCTCGTAAGGACCCAGTTAGTGGTGGGCCCCTGCTCACAGGTGGGGATGATGCAACAGGCCTCCTCCTCCCTCTGAGCAGCTGCCCCCCGCACTCCTGTGCCCTTTGGGGGTTGAGACAGGAAGGGGAGACAGGCCTTAAATTGTTACCTTAAAAGGGCCGATGGAAGCAAAGAGAAGAGGAAGTGGTTGTTGGGTGAGAGCTGGGCCCTCGCCCCGCACGCTCTCACACAGGAAGCCCTGCGGAAGCAGCCACCCTGGAAGAGGCCATTTCCAAACCTCTGCTGCTGTCTGGGGCCAGTTGTGACAGACCTCCCAGCTACCCTCCACTCAGCAGGCCAAATCCCTGCACACACAAGCACCACTTTCCACACTTCTTCCCTGGAGAACTGTGGCCTTCCAACTGTGAGGGTGTAGGGACTGGCCTGTTACACCCCTGAAGGGGAGCTCAGGGGAAACAGGGTGGTGGTAGGATGCCGGCCCTCAGAGTACATAGGAGACTGAGGCAGAGACAGGAAAGATCTTGGCCAGGCTCTGCCATACCATGGCACGCCTCACTCTTCACTGCTCATGGCCAGGGTTTCTAGACCTGGGTCAAAGAGCACACACCTTTCCCATCCCAGGCCCTGGCCTGCCTCTGCTTCCCTGGGACCCCAGAGCCTTCCTGTGTCCCCCCCTCGAGGGTTGGGGCAGCTGGACTGGGTTTAGAGGGTCAAAGCCCCTCGGTCAAAAGCCCTGCTGTGCCCTCTAGACTGGACGAGTGGACAAGAATGTGCCTATGGTCTGTGGCCACACAGCCCCTGTGCTGGACATCGCCTGGTGCCCACACAATGACAACGTCATTGCCAGTGGCTCTGAGGACTGTACAGTGATGGTGAGTGGTGGGGGACTCGGGGGCTGGGGGATCCCCACGGTGGATTTGATGCCCTAAGGACTCACCCACTCTTCCCTGCAGGTATGGGAGATCCCTGATGGGGGTCTGGTGGTGCCTCTGAGGGAGCCCGTTGTCACCTTGGAGGGCCACACTAAGCGTGTTGGCATTGTGGCCTGGCACCCCACAGCCCAGAATGTGCTCCTCAGTGCAGGTGCTGTAAGAGGGGGAAGAGGGGTATTGGTGGCTGCCACAAATGAGGGCAGGAGGTTCATGGCTTTCTGACACTGGGGTGATTGTGCAGGATGTGATAATGTGATCCTGGTGTGGGACGTGGGTACCGGGGCAGCTGTGCTGACACTGGGCCCAGACGTGCACCCAGACACCATCTATAGCGTGGACTGGAGCCGAGATGGTGGCCTCATCTGTACTTCCTGCCGTGACAAGCGTGTGCGCATCATCGAGCCCCGAAAAGGCACTATTGTGGCTGTGAGTTGCCATGAACCTTAACTCCTGGCACCATTGTTCCTCCTACCCAACATCTACCAGATCCTTGCATGCAGCCCCCCACTGCCCCAGCTGTGGGCTGGTCCCTCGGATGGCTGCAGGTGCCCTGCCTAACACCACTCTCTTGCAGGAGAAGGATCGTCCCCATGAAGGGACTCGGCCTGTGCATGCTGTGTTTGTATCAGAAGGAAAGATCTTGACCACAGGTTTCAGCCGCATGAGCGAGCGGCAGGTGGCACTGTGGGACACAGTGAGTGCAGAGACATGATATAGAGGGCCCCAGGGCAAAGAATCAAGCTGGAGGTGGAATCCCGGTCAAGCCTTTTGCAAGGCTGGAAGGCCCTGAGCCTGTCTACCCATCTATGAGATGAGAATTTCCACTGATTGGAATGTGAAGGCCCTTACCCAGTCACTGCTCAGTATGTGGGTCATCACCCCTAGGCTTGACATGGCCCTGCCCATTCTTACCTCCTCCCTATCTCTGCAGAAGCACCTGGATGAGCCACTGTCCCTACAGGAACTGGACACAAGCAGTGGAGTCCTGCTGCCCTTCTTTGACCCTGACACCAATATTGTGTACCTCTGTGGCAAGGTGGGTGAGTTAAGAGGTACAGGGGCGGGGAAGTAGGCAAGAAGAGCTTGAAGTGGACCAAGGCTACAGGCCCCTGCTGGTGCTGACTCTGCCTTTGCATGAACTACCTGTAGGGTGACAGCTCTATCCGGTACTTTGAGATCACCTCTGAAGCCCCATTCCTGCACTATCTCTCCATGTTCAGTTCCAAGGAGTCCCAGCGTGGCATGGGCTACATGCCCAAACGTGGCCTGGAGGTGAACAAGTGTGAGATTGCCAGGTGACTCACCCTGACCCTGACCCAGCATGCTTCTGGGGCAGCACTGATCCCCATGCTGACATTCAGTCTCTGCCCCATCACACTGCGGGTACTGCTCACCTTCCTGTTTCCACAGATTCTACAAGCTACATGAGCGCAAGTGTGAGCCCATTGCCATGACAGTGCCTAGAAAGGTGATGCCCCCATACCCCTCCCTGAGTTAGCTGGGTAGCAACCCTGGGTGGTTGTGGGGCATTACCACTCAGCTAACTAACCTTGGCCTTGCCCACAGTCTGACCTGTTCCAGGAGGACCTCTATCCACCCACTGCAGGACCTGACCCTGCCCTCACAGCTGAGGAGTGGCTAGGTGGTCGGGATGCTGGGCCCCTCCTCATCTCCCTCAAGGATGGCTACGTACCCCCAAAGAGCCGGGAGCTACGGGTCAACCGGGGCCTGGACAGCTCACGCAGAAAGGCAGCACCAGAAGCTAGTGGCACCTCTAGTGCAGTAAGAAGCGGGTGGGGACCTGGGGAACTAGGGTGCAGCAATGGGAAAGGGCAGAGCAAGTATGCAGGCACTCAGTGCCCCAGTGAAAGGAGGCTGATGTTTGGGGCATCCCAAACTCACAGTGTCAGGGCTCTTTTGGGGGCTAGCAGTGTGTGATCCTGAGTCCTCAAAAGCAGGTTTCAGGCTTATAGGCCTGCAGCTTTCTGGGCAGCAGCTGAGAGACAGAAGGGTCCAAACCCCAGCCGGGTGTAGTGGTACACACCTGTAATCCCAGCCCTTGGGAGGCTGAGGCAAGAGGATTGTCACAAATTCAAGGCTAGCCTGAGCTACATAGTGAGTTCAAGGCCAGCTTGAACTACATAGTGAGCCCCGGTCTCAAAAAACCGAAGTGGGGGAAAAAAAAAAAAAGGAAGCAAGCAAGAGTCCAAGCTCTAGACTTGGCCTTTCAGGAAAGACTGAGCAGACACCATGGTAAGGGAAATCCTGGGCCTAATACAGTGCTGGGTCCTCTAGGATGCCATGTCCCGGATGGAGGAGGAGATGAAGAAGCTGCAAGCCACGGTGCAGGAGCTACAGAAGCGCTTGGACAGACTGGAGGAGGCAGTCCAGGGCAAATAGCTAACACAGGGCTTTCAGCTGGGGCCAGCCACGCACACCTACCCAAGTCAGGCTGGCATAACAGATAAGGAAAAAAAAAATAAATAAAGATGGCTTTATTTTCTGGTACCTCTAAGACTCTGATGACTGTTCACTGGATACGGGGTCTGGTGAACTGACCTGTCTTTGAGCTCCTGCTCTTACTCCTTGATGAAGATTGGTGGTCAACTCTAAGTGCCCTACATCACAGGAACAGGAATCAGTGGGCAAGACCCACCCATGCTAATATGGGCTACAAGCCCACTCTTTCTTTCCTAGCCCATTCTCAGGACTAGCAGGTCTGAGCTATTTAAGACCTGGTTGGGAAATACTTGCTCCAAACCTGCTTTTCTCAGCCACCCAAAACATCAGGTTGAATGCAGCCCTCCTGGCTCTGCTGCTTGTGAGCAAATGAACCCACAGGCACTCATACCCTGGTCATCTTGCAAACTGCAGCCCATGGATAAAAACAACTCCGTCAGGAAAAAACTTAGAACCATTGTAACAGCCTAGCCCTGGTTTATAGGTGAAGAAACAGGCATAGAGCAAGGGACTGGCTGGCTGAAGGACAGATTCTGAATCAAGACTTACATCTCTTCATCTTAACAACAGTGCTAATGCCTCCTGGGGGTTCCACCTGGGCCTGGCCCCCAGGAGAGAGAGACCTGGCTAGACCACATCTGTCAAGGTGGGGTGTGAGGCTAAATTTCAGTGCCCAATTTACTGGGTAACACCCTGGGCTGGCACAACACAAAATTGCTGGAATAGGTGTTTTGGCCACTGCAGAGCTTGTTCACATCACACAGGCACTCCCACCTCAGCCTCTGGAGTGCTGGGACTGCAGCTGTGCACCACCTCATCTTGCTTCATCTCTGCATCTTCAAGGCTGGCAGAGAGTGGGAAGCCCCAGCTCTCAGGGGACTGGGTGGGAAATGGAAGTTCAGACCCTGAGGGGTATGTAAAGAGGTTTAATAGGCACGCTTGGAAAGGAGTTAAGGACAAAACTTTCATATAAGGGAGGGCACATGCCCCAGATAGGGGTAAGCAGCTTGTTCAAGGTAAAACAAAGGGCAGAGACAAAACCGAGAAGCCAAGCCCTACAGTCAGCCTCAGGGTGACTCTCACACACAACACACGACACAAGAGCCGGCCCTAATACATAATTTAATGGCTGTGCAGGCCTTCATCCCTCATTTCTGACGCTCACGGGTCCACTGTTCTGGGGTCAGGGTTTTCTGCTCAAAGGCATGGATGTGCGGGAGTTCTTCTGCTAGACATTCGTTCACCAGCCTGAGGTAAGAGAGGGGTTCGGAAATGGCAGGCCGAGGCTTGGGTCGCAGTGGCCAGTGCTAGAGTGACCCAAGAGACTGGAGGAGTTTCTCAGGCGGTAGTCTGTCTCCAAGACGTGGGAGCGCGTGGAGACCGGTAGTAGGAGACTGGAGACGCTGGGCCTCCTTGCAAAGATGAGGGAGCTAGGATGAAGGAGGCAAGGGAGTGGCCGGGGCGTGATCATGCAAGTTTCGGGGGCTCACCGATGTCTCTGAAGCAGCGGCTTCCCCTCGAATTTAGTCGACACCACGAGGACTCGGAAGCTCGTCGCACAACGGTTCGGAGTCGTGTCCTCCACCTCCTACGGGGTAGAAGAATGGAGACCATGTGGAACCGGCTCACAGGACGCCTTTTTCCTGACCAGGTGAATTCTGAGGGCTCAACTCACCACGTGGTCCGCCTCCAGGTCCCGCTGCAACTTATCCCGCAGGGAACTGGCACTGAGTTCCATGACTGCAACCGAAGTGGTGCAGCCCGGCAGGACACGACCAACCTCAGGACCGGCACTCTACTTTTGGTCCTAACCACAGCCGCTTCCGCTAGAACATCTCTTTCCGCCCTTACTAAGGCCTCTGAACGCACTTCCGCCCTTACACGGGTTGGGTTTTCGCAAAGTGAAGGGTTTGAGCGTTAAGCAGTATTAGCCAATCAGAGTCCACGAGAGGAAGGACTCTGCGGAGCGGACGCTGATTGGTTGGAGCACCTGCGCAACCCCCTCCGCCCTCCCGGGGGGTTGTTCTGTGTCTGAGTTTGCCTGCGAGGTTCCTCCAGGAGAGGGTGCCCGAAGCCTGGTTCCTGAGGCGTCCAGACTGCCTCGCGATCGCCCAGAGTGCTTTTCCCTAAACAAGCCTCTTGCTGCCCTAGCAATCCAGTCATCCCCGGGCTTCGAAATCAACCTTCGGTAACCAAAATCAGCCTTCGGCTCCGGACCATAATCTATAAAGTCCTGATGGTCCCTGTAAAAGGCGTGGCGAGGTCGAGGGACTTCATCAGCATCTACCTGCTCTGGTGTTGCGGTATAGAGTGAGCTCGTGGTCTTGCAACATTAAGGAATGAAGTCGGCAAGCAAAGGTAGAGGAATGGGAGGGAAAAAAATGCATCAAGTTATATCATATATGGGTACAAATTCCCTGTGATGAATATGATCATTGTGTATACTTGTGATCATTATGTATACCTAAAATGTACCACTAAATTAGTTACTTTAAAACAAAACAGTATCTCCTAGATTCCCAAGAGGGGTCCTTAGTGGGTGGCCATTGAGGCGCTTTGTCCACGGATATTGTACATAGCAAAATTATGATGTGGGTCCAACTACAACCAGTCTATAGGTATAAATTTACCTCATATCCCAAAATGTGTAATAGTCACTGTACAAAAGAGAGGAAAAGAAAGTGCTCTGAACTATATAACTGCATGTATATTTAAATGTATAAGATAGAAAATGATATCACAGAGTTTTATTGGATCATTGAACAGAACTGTTTGCAGTATCATTGTTGGAATGTCCACTCTACAAGCTTTAATTTTGTGACTTGAACAATTATTTCTAAGATGGCAATATGTAATCCATTAACTAGTGATTTCCTACTGCGCATTTTTTTCTTCTGTAAATCTGTATAACTTGTACCCCTTCACTGTTTTTTTTTCTTTCTTTTCTTTTCTCCTTAAATAAAAATTAAAAAAAAATTAAAGTAAAAAAAAATTTACCTCATATCGATGCAACAAAGTAAGGAGGCACGTAGCTATAGTGCACGGCGAACATCATTAGGCATTCCTGGAAAAGGACAGGAGGACGGCCTAGATGTTTCAGTCACCCACCTATGTGTCTGGGCTCACTGGCCCAAGTGCTGCTAATTCTAGTTATCATTTAAGCTTCAGGTTATCTCTAGTGAGGCTTGTATGCCTGGCTGTTGTGTTGCCATCTTGAGGCCTGGCTCCCCTCAAATTTGCCTCCAGCTCCAGTCTTGTGTCTCTTCTGCTCTGATTTCCTCGATGGGCCAATCCCTCCCTGACTGCCTATTAATTCCTATCGAACTTAGCTGTCTAGAGTAATACTGCCTGCCTGAATCCTCATTATTGGGGTCCGTGAACATGGGGGCAACAGCACAGTGAAAGGCGCAAGGTGGCTGGAAGGCTCTTCAGTAGATCTTGGGAGATAAGAACACACTGCCTTCAAGCCACCTTCTCAGGAGGTCTTCCTGGCACTCTAAAACTGAGTCTTTGTTGTGCACATCTCTGCCCTTTTCTCCCCTGAACTCTGTCTAACTTAGCGTAACTGTAGCAAGTTTTGTCATCAGGCTCCCCACCCTTCACCCTAAATCCAGGAGGGAGTTCTTGTGCTTCTGTCAATGTAAGTAAATGATTCCCTGCACCCCTTTACTGCCTGCCACCTCCAATGGGATGAAGAGGGCCCTCTGCATTGTCCCCATCCCAGCTGACACCTGCAGGCCCATGTGATCTGCCTTGCAGAGGAGTTCCTCCAGGCAGAGCCAGGGCAGCTTGTGCCCCTAAAGGGTCATTGTCCTAGGTGAGTCTGGTCCCTTCTTCCCAAGCCATATCTATTCCAGGGTGAGGGTGCCCAGTGGTCCAGGCCAGGCCAGCTGAGTCCTCACCTTGGTACCCAGAGCCCAGGCTGGAAGGGGCTTGTGATGTCTGATTCTGTATCATCTCATCCAACTTGTAATCCTATAGGCTGGTTGTAGTTAGACCCATTTTACTCACTGTAAAAACTCTCTGATCTGAGGACACCTGCTTTGACTGTGTGGGCCCTTGACAGGAGGATGACATCTTGGATTTAGAAGAAGTAAGGATGCCCTGCTCACACTTGCCTCTCCATCTCTAGGCTGCTATTATGGCTTGGGTCTAGATGTCCCCCAAAGTCTCATAGGTGGAACTTTTCAGAGGTGGCTGGATTTAGAGTGTGATGCTGGGACCAAGGGTGTTTGGTTATTAAATTAGCCCACTAATTGGTTTGTCATAGTTCTGCGTAAGATTAAGGGTGCTCCACCCCAGGTGTAAGTGCTACCTGTCCTAAGGACAGCTATCCTGGATAGGATACAGGGGACAGAAAGAGGGTCCCTGTTTGTTAGTTGTTGCTTGCTGCTTGCCATGGACTGTTTCTCCTCTGTGATGCGCCTCTGCCATGCCACCATTCACCCTGCCTGGAGCCAGCCGATTATGAATTGAAACTTCTACAAACTGTAAACCAAAATAAACCTTTCTTCTTCTAATTTTGTGTGTCATATATTTTGTCTCAGCAGTGAGAAAAGTATCTAAGATAGCTGCCTTTGGTCAACTTGTCTCCACAGGGACACTGGACAGAGCTGCTGGAGATCTGATCCTCAAGTGTCTCTAACTGGCCACTATTCCTTTTCTGTCCTTCTTGTGCCTGGGTTCTGGAAAGTGTTTACTTGAGTACAATAAAAAAAAAATCTCAGTTAAGGGTGACTTTGGTATTTGTGGAGAGGCCTGAATAAAGGAAACATGGGCAGAATAATCATTACATAATCAGAAACCACCATAAGTACAAAGTGCAAAGAAACTCCTGGGACCTTAAATTGTCACTCATAAAAAGCATTAGTCTCTTCTGAGACAATCAGTGGCAGAAAAGTGGTTTTATATTAGTCACTTTCTTGTCATGGGGTATATCAATTAGTGTTCCATAGAATAACAGATTTAATAGGATTTACAAGATAAGCTTATGTTGGCCACCTGCAGAGTTAGCTATGGAAGAAAGCAAAGGTTGTCTGCATGCAGGAGAGCTCAAAATCCTGTCAAGGTGGAAGACCTGGAGCTTACTGCAGAGCTGTTGGCATTTGTGTGGGGAAGCTGGAGGATCTACGCTGGAAACTGAAGAGTCTGTGCTGAAAGCCTGGAGGTGCACATCCCAAGGCAAAGGTAAACACTGAAACTCCTCCACAGACACAGAAGCAAGACTTCCTCCTCCTTCCTTTTTTATTCCATTCAGGCTACACGCCAGTAGGTGGTTGCCACTCACACCCAAGGTAGGTCTTCCTTCTTCAATAAGTTCATTTAATCATACCCAGAACTGTGCTAAACCAGTTGGCATTTCGTACTGCAATTGGTGCAATGGTTAACGATTATACTGGGACAGAATTCACAATAGCCAAAACTCTTAAAGAGGGGAGGTTTATTTTACTTTAGGGTTTTCAGAGGATTCAGTCAAATGGTTGGAGGTTCCAAGACAGAAATGCCAAGGCAGACAGGCTGAGTGGGTTCATGAACAACAATATAGAAACCTGAGCAGCCAAATTAATAAATTTGAAACTTAATTAACTGAGCTCAGGACCACTTGTATACAGACACATCCCCCTTCCCCATTTCAGGGTCCAAACAAGAGGCACCGAACTAGAAAGTTACAGAGTTCTTAACAGAGAGAATCACAAAAGACATCCTGTTGGAAACAATTTAGCTCGCATCTTTCATTAATTTTTGGTTGACACCTGTATCCTGCTTCTTTTGTTGAGCAGGTTAATTTTTCTCCTGTAGGTACAGCTTATTCTGATTTTCTCATGGGACTTATACCCTGAGTAATTTTCCATTTTCCTGAATACAGGGCACTAGTTAAATGCGGGGCTCAAGATGGCATTAGTTACGCCAAGCCAAACATTCCCCACTGGTTTTAGTGCATGAATCAAATTCTTGACTCCTGGTCATCCTTTTAAAAGTCATCTTCCTCATCTACATTTCGCAGTTCCTCATATTGAGAACATATAACCATTAATTTAATAGACTGGACTTGGCTTTGGATATAACGCATTAAACAATCTATCATGCAGGGGCCAATAGTAATGGCCAGTAGGAGGAAACCCAAGGGTCCTGCCAGAGCTGAGAGTAGTCTGGTCAGCCATGGGGTAATGGAGAACAAATTTTCATACCAACTCTGTTGACGGTGCCTCTCATTTTTCCTATCAGCTAGGCACCTTCTGAACTAAGACTGTCCCTAATGACTCCTGAATGGTTGGTGTAAAAGTATCAAGATTCACCAAGGACAGACCTCCCTGTTTCAAGAATAGGAGGTCTAGACCTCACCGGTTCTCAGCCAGGGAATTTAGAGACTTCTCCAAGAGATGAACATTGTGTTCAGGTGTGCCCAGGTGATGTTTGCTTAGTATCCGGTAATTTTGGTCTCCCACTCTGAGGGCTGTGGTTTCTAGTGCTGTGGCCAGCTACTCCTAATCCCAAAAGGGCAGGAATTAGGACTGGGGCCCTCTTTTTTCTTGTGAGGTTGGATAACCCCATATGCTCCCTCCCTCTTCCAGAATACCAGTACACTTGGGGAAGAACATGAGTTAAGATACAGAGTCCAGGGTTAGGTCCAGTGAAGACGGCAAGATGAGTGGAAGGGTGAGTCCATTTGTACGGGCAAACTAAGTTCCTGGTGGGGAGACTAAATGTTGGTTGAGGGGTTAAGAGACATTTTGCACATACAGTTGAATTACAATTAATTCAAAATAGGGAGTGCTTCAAGGGGGAAGTTTACAGACAGAATACAAAGTCCAGAGCCCTGAATTTTTCCCAAAGTGAGGGACTTAGGTCCCTGCCCCCACCATCATGAAGAACTAGA